TCAATAAGGACCACACAAACAGTGTCTCTGTTACCAATAATGAAGATCCCTTGTGTATCCATTAAAAATCCATCAAAGAGTTGAATAAATCAACATTCAAATGGTTGATGGTTATATTTATTATGTCAGTAGACGCAGCCGTTATCTACTTCTGTAAAATCAAATAGAAATCTATTTACAATCACAATGCGTTTACTTATGTAAACTTCACAAAAATTCAGCGGTAATATATAGGTAAAAAAAAATAACACATATTGGATTCTGTACAGAATATCTGATCTTAAATACGCTATAATTTTTTAACTACAATATATATAATGCGATGATTTGATACCACTTACAGTAGAAATATATAAGATCATATTACCAAAGCACTTTCATTTACTCTATTAATAACATTCAGTTTCTTTGTTGAAGTAAACCTGATGATGCAGTACCTGATAACGTTGGCCAAATGGTTTTATATAATAAAACCTAAAATCTTCCTCACAATCTGTTCTCATTTTACGACTTTACAAGTTGATTCTTCCCATGCTTTCATCATAAAGAAAGAATTTTGTGTAAAAAAGAAACAATATAATGGTGTTATGTCAATGATTTAGTAACCTACTGGGGAATTCTTAATGCACTTCAACAAACAGGCAGAATGAATGCGGGCTGTGGATGGAGCGGGACGTGGATGGAACTGGATGTGGATGGAGAAGAATGTGGATGGAGTAGAATGTGGAGGGACTCTTTATCAATCTAACAGACTTTTTACATTCTTTAAGATATAAAATAATGTAAATCTATTTTCATTGGTAAGATTTTGTATCATAGATTTGACCATATGTTTAAAAAAAAATGCCAAAAACACAAGACTGTCCCCATGGTGATTCTACTTTCTTTGGCTTCTTCAGGCAGATTGTGTTGATATAATCTATAGATCTATTGTAGCTTAAAAAACAGTGCACTTTTAATATAGATAAGTCTAGCCTTGTACACCAAAATAACTATATTTCTACAATCTTGAGAAATCAGTACTATAATGATAAATTCACATTACACAACCAGCTAAGTATAGAAGCTACCACTGAGTACTAATGGTGCAGCATGATAAATCAGGGAACAGATTTAAGTCTACTTCAATTACATCAATATTCATTATTGAAAACACAGCCAGCTAGCTGTTTACCTAGGTAAGAGTTCATTACTTCATAGAGATGGTAAATTTTGGTTCAAAAGTCTTTTACAAAATGTTTTCAGAGTAAAGCTGATCAAGTACAGTCTAGTTTAAATGTCGAGTGGTTTTGACGCTAAAGGGAAAAACTACTTCAAAGTAACATCCGAGAAATCACAGCCAAAGAAGCAGTATAAGTTGTAGAAGGTATGTACTGATCGCCTTGCTATCGAAAGTTACTGAATACTTCAAATGTTGAGGTCTAATTGTAATAAAGTAAAACTGTACACATATGATCTTAACATCAGTATGTAAATGAACATTCCCCTTTTTTCATTATTAGTCAGCATATTGAGTAATCAATACAAGAAATTAAAAACAAAAGACTAATGCGTCTTGATGTTCATCTGACTATAAAAACTTTTAGCAGGGTTATTTTTCTACTTTGAACGAAATCTTACTAAGAAGCTGTTTTCCATGATGTAGATGGTAGTTCTGGTGAGCAGTAGGTAACTGTAATAAATCTGATACCTAATTTTGACTGTAAAGTTAGATCTCCAACTGGTGAAACTTGAGAAGTTTGAAATAGATGTTGTACAGCAAAACCATACTTGTGCAATCATATCACAAAATGAACTCCCTGGATGGAAGTTTTGACAAGGTAAAAAAAAACCAATTTGCTGGCTACCTTTTCCATCAATTTTTTACTTCAATGGCACCAGTGGAGAAGATTAAAATATGTTTTTTCACGATGGTGGCCATCTTGGATTTCAGACAAACCCGAAAAATAACAACACTTGGTCAGGACTATCTCAGGATCATTTCATGCAAGTTTGAGCTCAATCTCTCTGGTTGAACTTGAGAAGAAGTTTGAAACGTCAAAAACTTGCCCATGGCAGATGGCAGATGACGCACACCAGACGAGATTGAAGCACCATGACTATAGGTCATCATGACCTTCGGGTCACATGACCTAATTATGATAACCTCAGCTCCAATAGTTGTCCTTGTAGTAAAGTAATGGCTTGTAACCTGTACCATACCGGTATCAAAAGTGGAAAATTCTGTTTATACATTGCATGCACCTCCGTGCTTCTTTACTGAAATGTTGATTTCACTTTATCATAAATATGTACTCCATAAAATATACATGGTTCCCCTCAAATATGTACCCCATAAAATATACATGGTTCCCCTCAAATATGTACCCCATAAAATATACATGGTTCCCCTCAAATATGTACCCCATAAAATATACATGGTTCCCCTCAAATATGTACTCCATAAAATATACATGGTTCCCCTCAAATATGTACTCCATAAAATATACATGGTTCCCCTCAAATATGTACTCCATAAAATATACATGGTTCCCCTCAAATATGTACTCCATAAAATATACATGGTTCCCCTCAAATATGTACCCCATAAAATATACATGGTTCCCCTCAAATATGTACCCCATAAAATATACATGGTTCCCCTCAAATATGTACCCCATAAAATATACATGGTTCCCCTCAAATATGTACTCCATAAAATATACATGGTTCCCCTCAAATATGTACTCCATAAAATATACATGGTTCCCCTCAAATATGTACCCCATAAAATATACATGGTTCCCCTCAAATATGTACCCCATAAAATATACATGGTTCCCCTCAAATATGTACCCCATAAAATATACATGGTTCCCCTCAAATATGTACTCCATAAAATATACATGGTTCCCCTCAAATATGTACCCCATAAAATATACATGGTTCCCCTAAAATATGTACCCCATAAAATATACATGGTTCCCCTAAAATATGTACCCCATAAAAGATAAATGGTTCCCCTAAAATATGTACCCCATGAAACAAGTGTCAGATATGCACCCTATAACATGAACAAGGATGAGATATAAACAAGTTCTTACAAAGTTTTACATACCTGTCAAAAACACAGAACTACAGAACCTCCAGTTCCAAAGTCAATGATATGAAGACAGCAGAAAGCTGGGAGGAAACATACAGTTAGGATGAAGTGAGAGAAACTCCCTAGTGCGATGACTGACAAGAATTACAATACTTGTCGGAGGCACTGCTGGACAGGGTTACGCGACCATGATCGAGACTGGAAATACATCCATTTTTAATCTCCAATAATACACCAGGATTCGCGGCCTGGGTACACCGCTGTTCTCCGCCAGCGTTTTGGAATAGTGTTTAGGTTTGTGTTCCACCATTATGTCACTGTTATTGTCATATCAAAGGTTCAAACAAAAATGATGTTAGGATTGAATCTCCTGAGAAATCATACCACCACAAAAAATTCAGTATTCATCTGTTTCATATCAGTATGAGTAGTATCACGTAATGCTCACTGTACCAAACAGTGTAACTAAACCAAATATATCATTATAGAAGTATTCTATAGGGACTTGGTCACAGTACTTTAACTCTAGTCTAACTTTCTGGAGTGAGGATAGCAGGCAAGCCTTTTAGTAACTGTTACAACTACTGACATCCTTGGTAATCTATACTTAACAAAGTTAAATGGCACTCGGAGGGAGGGGGAGTCTCTTACATCTAGTCACAAATCAATAAATTACACAGAAAAGTCACTCACATTTCTCTAAACAATTACCACACATATGCTACACAAATATTACTATCAAGGAATAATCTGTCTATATAAACATATTAATGTGAATAGGGAGTGATGGAACCAAGTACTCTTAAAATCCACTCACTTCAATAATCATCAACATGGATGGTTACAATTAGACATCAGCAAAATATCTCTCACACAACCTCAGAAGATGCTTCCTGCCTGCTTGCTGCCTTATACCTGAATGTGTTCAATATACTTGCACTCACTGTGAAAATAAAAACTACGTTCATAAGGCAATCGTTTTCACGCTACAAATTATCTGGCATGTCAGAATACCATACAGCCACTATAGCTAAGCTGTATAACCCATATTCCAACATACAGCAATCCGTACTGTCTCATGGATAAAGTATAACAGTGATCTCAAAAATGAAGATTTCTTACACCACCAACAGCATACCTATACTTTATTTATATACTTATATATTTTTTACACTTTCTTTATATACTTATATATTTCTTCTACTTTATTTATATACTTATATATTTCTTACACTTTATTTATATACTTATATATTTCTTATACTTTCTATATATACTTACATATTTCTTACACTTTATTTATATACGTATATATTTCTTACACTTTATTTATATACTTATATATTTCTTACACTTTCTATGCAGTCCCAATATCGAAAGAGTGCAACTAATGACCAAGGGTAACCTTCAAGTGAAATTCTAGAAAGGTTCATTCAGTACTTCTCAAAAAAGAGGCATAGCAATGATTGTCTAAAAGGACGGATGTCATCGATCATAGACTGATGGAGAGACAATGACCAGGGAAGCATGGTGATTTGAACAGACACCTGAACATAAATTTGTGTTAAGAGTTTTGTATTTCAGTCTTGTTAATTTGTCAATAACATCTCTACAGAACACCGTCCAGTTCTGAATGTAAAAGGGAGCTCTCTTGCTACTTATACCGTGGCAGTTTTAAAACATGGCATCTTATAATACTTAGAACAGACAGTATCATTATGTTTCTACAGGTTTAATACAAAGCAAATTACATCTCCTTACCAAGAAACCTTAAATATGGCCAAAGAGCCAAGAGGTGTATTTAGACATTTCAGTCAGTGAATTCAAATATCCCCCATTGCATGTTATAATGTTGTATGTCTAGCAGCCTGATGAAGCTTAAGTAGAGTTTGAGTGAATCTTGATACAGCCCTCCGACTTACTTAGTCCCTCAGGTTATAGGGCCACACAATACAACAATAAACCGATTTCCCAACACGGTAATTAATAGGGTACATAACACAACCATAACATACAAACCACTTCTGACCTGTAATGGTATTATAGAACATAATTTATCACAAAAGCTCTTGGCAATAAATACCACAGTAGGAAATTGTTGAAGTATCATTGATCTCTCATCAACATATACAATGAAACTTTACCCTTATTTTATATAAAGGATGCCTAGTCAATAGATATCACTAATGTAATATTTGTTTAATTCAGTAATCAAATCATCGCATATTTGTTTTCAGGCCCATTCCATATGGTGGTACTGCTTACTTCATAGGCCAAGATCTTCATCCCTTGTTTATGGTAAACATCAAGCAGCCAGTTTCCCAATGCTTCGTTAGAGTTAAAAAGTCTTCAGTGAAAATTTACAGCTACGTATCAAACAAAAGTGATATTTCACAGCTCTATGTTAGTTGAGATAAGTTAGGTTGATATATTTTGAGTGTCAGTTTTGCTTTGATTAAAATCTAAATCTAATCCAAAATTCAAATTTGTCAATAATCACTGTTACAATTGGTTTATTCTCACAAAGCTTGAAGCAATTTGTTCCAAAAATTTAAATCAGAAATCTATTTCAAATATTGAAAAGCATACTGTAAAATCACATGTTTTGGTGGAGCTCAATTTTGTGGTTTTCCAAAAAATACCACTTCATGGACAATAGATTAGCTCATTAAATCTACTTCTATTCACTTAAACAGTTTGTGGATGTATGAATTCGTAGATTTAGAGTACCCAGGTAATTAACGAAAATAAATCCACCACAAAAATGATGGATTTTACAGTATTCTGTGTTAAGTAATGCAGAAGTAACTCACACGGGACAAAGGTTCTGGTTTACAAATTAAGGGCCTTCAACTGTGTCATTAATATAGAGGGGGTAGAGACACACAACTGTGTCATTAATATAGAGGGGGTAGAGACACACAACTGTGTCATTAATATAGAGGGGGTAGAGACACACAACTGTGTCATTAATATAGAGGGGGTAGAGACACACAACTGTGTCATTAATATAGAGGGGGTAGAGACACACAACTGTGTCATTAATATAGAGGGGGTAGAGACACACAACTGTGTCATTAATATAGAGGGAGTAGAGACACACAACTGTGTCATTAACATAGAGGGGGTAGAGACACACAACTGTGTCGTTAACATAGAGGGGGTAGAGACACACAACTGTGTTGTTAACATAGAGGGGGTAAGGACACACAACTGTGCCGTTAACATAGAGGGGGTAGAGACACACAACTGTGTCGTTAACATAGAGGGGGTAGAGACACACAACTGTGTCATTAATATAGAGGGGGTAGAGACACACAACTGTGTCATTAATATAGAGGGGGTAGAGACACACAACTGTGTCATTAATATAGAGGGGGTAGAGACACACAACTGTGTCATTAATATAGAGGGGGTAGAGACACACAACTGTGTCATTAATATAGAGGGGGTAGAGACAAAGTTTTTTGTATTTTGTTGTTTTAGGTGACATGACTGTGGACAAAATTCTGTATCAACTTTTTATAATAAGGAGGTCATTACCATAACATTAATGGATATATCTTTCACCCTGTCAACTTCCATCAACATAAAACAGTAATTAATCAACTTGCAAGCAAATACAATGTAAAGGAGGGTCAATGATTTAAGTAAATGCACTCCAACATGTGTTACATCCATACTCCCCTGAAGATGTTTACAGATGTAATCTACCAAATGTTACCAATACACACAGTACAGGTGACAAAACAACAGATAGCTCGCACATGTTGCACAATGATTTCAATCGATATGCCATTGTAGTTTTTCTTTACCTTGAAGAATATTATTGTTTTCACTACAAAGACAACCACCCAGCCAGGTAAATATATCAGTCTTGACAGTCCCTACAACAACAACAACTGTACAACAATATCGCCTACATCAAGGTTCCCCACAACTAGATCCTGTACAACACAGTCCTCTACAACTTGATCCTGTACAACACAGTCCTCTACAACTTGATTCTGTACAACACAGTCCTCTACAACTTGATTCTGTACAACACAGTCCTCTACAACTTGATCCTGTACAACACAGTCCTCTACAACTTGATCCTGAACAACACAGTCCTCTACAACTTGATCCTGAACAACACAGTCCTCTACAACTTGATCCTGAACAACACAGTCCTCTACAACTTGATCCTGTACAACACAGTCCTCTACAACTTGATCCTGAACAACACAGTCCTCTACAACTTGATCCTGAACAACACAGTCCTCTACAACATGATCCTGTACAACACAGTCCTCTATACCTTGATCCTGAACAACACAGTCATCTACAACATGATCCTGTACAACACAGTCCTCTACAACTTGATCCTGAACAACACAGTCATCTACAACATGATCCTGTACAACACAGTCCTCTACAACTTGATCCTGAACAACACAGTCCTCTACAACATGATCCTGAACAACAGTCCTCTACAACTTGATCCTGAACAACAGTCCTCTACAACTTGATCCTGTACAACACAGTCCTCTACAACTTGATCCTGAACAACACAGTCCTCTACAACATGATCCTGTACAACACAGTCATCTACAACTTGATCCTGAACAACACAGTCATCTACAACTTGATCCTGAACAACACAGTCCTCTACAACTTGATCCTGAACAACACAGTCTCTACAACATGATCCTGTACAACACACAGTTGATCCTGAACAACACAGTCACCTTGATCCATGATCCTGTACAACACAGTCCTCTACAACTTGATCCTGAACAACACAGTCATCTACAACTTGATCCTGAACAACACAGTCCTCTACAACTTGATCCTGAACAACACAGTCCTCTACAACTTGATCCTGAACAACAGTCCTCTACAACTTGATCCTGAACATCAGTCCTCTATTACTTGATCCTGAACATCAGTCCTCTATAACTTGATACTGTACTACATCAGGTTCTGTACAGGATCTTAGCTCCATCATTCTGAAACACTATTTATTTTAGTTATTTTAGTATTAAATTTTCTATAATGATTGTAACTGCCTATTAGTACTAAGAAAATCAGTAAAGAAATACATGTACATCCCCATCTCTGCACTCGGACCCTGCTTCCAAGAAAAAAACAAAAACATCCAGTAGCAGGTATATACTTTGCAGCATTAAAGTAGATCAATATAAGTTATAAGCCTGTCACTAATGAAATTGAAAATAAAAATACAAGTTAAATTTTCATTTACTATAACTGACATTCAACAACTGCACTGTACTTTTATTTATTAGTTTTACCATCACCTAGCACACACAATCAGCTTTGTGCAAATGTCATAGAAAAAGGGCATTCTATTATCGGCAGATTCAGAAGAGAATCGGCTCAAACAATAGCTAATCATCACATAAGGAAACGGCAATTGCCATATAAGGGCATCACCTACAGTATAAATCGATACAGGGGGGTGACCTATAACTTCACCATGCTCAGGCCTCTCTTGATAGATGGCTTCAACAAAGAAACACATCTCTTCATTTACCCAGGAATAACAAGCACCTGCCGACTGTCCTGAAAGGCTGATCTATGTATAGGACAATTAACTGGGAACTACACTGGGTTGATCTCAGTTATCCAATAAAGAGCAGAGGACAACCCAATCAAAATACAGATCATCCTGGACACAGCAATAAAGCCGGAGCCGACTAGCTTTCCTTTACAAATCAGAATTAGTAGGCCAGCTGATATTAAATAACTATTAGAGAAAATTAATAATTTTACCCTGCTAAATATTGAAATTTTATATCTTAAAACTTTCATAATCTTGGTAATAAATTGATCAGATAGTGACAGTTTCTGCGTCCAAGCTATTAATGTATACAAGGTAACATTAACTAAAATCAATTGTCAACGTTTTATTGAAACTTGAACCTGAATTATTAAGACTGTTCCATGGAAGTTTGGAGACAATTGGTGTTAAATAATTGATAGGTCTGTGCTTTATTACTGTAACACGAGGGAACAAAGCAGATGTATACCACCAGTAAGTTTGTGCTACACTTCCCTGCGAAATACCACCTTCAAATCTCAAGTACAACTGTCCTTACACATCCTGGATAATTCAGGATCATGACTGATTTGGAGATCAAGGTTTCAAAGAAAATGTATGAGAATTTTGCAAACAGATAAATATATTGCTTTAAAGTTTTTATTTGTTTTCCAGCTAAAAGAATGGTAAATAACCCTAAATCTTGCCTCCAAAATATACTGAGTTCATCAAGCAGTACCAAAACACTCTCTTTACAGGGTTACTTTCAATGTTACCATTCATACCAGTATTACTGTCCATCAATTTACATACAGTACAAACAAGTTTAACAGGCAATCAGCTAAAATGAAGTCTATACAAGTATCACTGAATCTCACTTAACAATTAGTGCATACAGATATTAGTGTCTGTCCTATACAACACTGTACACTGTTACAGTGTGTGATATATGTGCCAGGTATGTCCTACACAACACTGTAGACCGTTACAGTGTGTGATATTTGTGCCAGGTCTGTCCTACACAACACTGTACACTGTTACAGTGTGTGATATTTGTGCCAGGTCTGTCCTACACAACACTGTACACTGTTACAGTGTGTGATATTTGTGCCAGGTCTGTCCTATACAACACTGTACACCGTTACAGTGTGTGATATTTGTGCCAGGTCTGTCCTACACAACACTGTACACTGTTACATTGTGTGATATTTGTGCCAGGTCTGTCCTACACAACACTGTAGACTGTTACAGTGTATATTTTTTGTGCCAGGTCTGTCCTACACAACACTGTAGACCGTTACAGTGAGTGATATTTGTGCCAGGTCTGTCTTACACAACACTGTAGACTGTTACAATGTGTGATATTTGTGCCAGGTCTGTCCTACACAACACTGTAGACTGTTACAATGTGTGATATTTGTGCCAGGTCTGTCCTACACAACACTGTACACCGTTACAGTGTGTGATATTTGTGCCAGGTCTGTCCTATACAACACTGTACACCGTTACAGTGTGTGATATTTGTGCCAGGTCTGTCCTATACAACACTGTACACCGTTACAGTGTGTGATATTTGTGCCAGGTCTGTCCTACACAACACTGTACACCGTTACAGTGTGTGATATATGTGCCAGGTCTGTCCTACACAACACTGTAGACATGCAGTGTGTGATATATGTGCCAGGTCTGTCCTACACAACACTGTACACTGTTACAGTGTGTGATATTTGTGCCAGGTCTGTCCTATACAACACTGTAGACTGTCACAGTGAATGTTATTTGCCTCGCCTCAATCACACAGAATAGTTATTACAATACAGTTCAAACATAAAATAATAACAGAATTACGCTTCAATTGTGAAGCCAGAAAATATCAATTTATAACTAAGCTGTGTCAGAATAGGAATAACAAAGGCGGCAGATTGGGATGTTAATTTCATTGGAGAAATAAAATGTCAGAGCCGTGACAATGGACAGGGACAGTAAGATAGATTAGAGAATCATGGATAGCAGGAGAAATGGCATGAAAAGGAAATATACAATGTACAATATTTTTCAGCTGCCTGTACAGCAATATTATAGTCTTTCAGACGGCTTAGTCTGCAGGTTCACACGAACACTTGCATGTATAAACACTATTCAGGGGGCAATATTCTAATCACACTTATTTTGAAACCAAACTTCCAAAGTTATCTGTCTTTTACTTTGTGTTTTTTTAACTATAATATAATACTGAGCACTCTATAAATGAACTTTAACATAAAGTCTAGTAACAAATAAAGGTCAACTCTGTATATAACGGCCTGCCCTACACTGTACATTATAGCCTACATAAGCCTAGACATAAAGGCCTGCCCTACACTGTACATTATAGCCTACACAAGCCTAGACATAAAGGCCTGCCCTACACTGTACATTATAGCCTACACAAGCCTAGACATAAAGGCCTGCCCTACACTGTACATTATAGCCTACACAAGCCTAGACATAAAGGCCTGCCCTACACTGTACATTATAGCCTACATAAGCCTAGACATAAAGGCCTGCCCTACACTGTACATTATAGCCTACACAAGCCTAGACATAAAGGCCTGCCCTACACTGTACATTATAGCCTACACAAGCCTAGACATAAAGGCCTGCCCTACACTGTACATTATAGCCTACACAAGCCTAGACATAAAGGCCTGCCCTACACTGTACATTATAGCCTACACAAGCCTAGACATAACGGCCTGCCCTACACTGTACATTATAGCCTACACAAGCCTAGACATAAAGGCCTGCCCTACACTGTACATTATAGCCTACACAAGCCTAGACATAAAGGCCTGCCCTACACTGTACATTACAGCCTACACAAGCCTAGACATAAAGGCCTGCCCTACACTGTACATTATAGCCTACACAAGCCTAGACATAAAGGCCTGCCCTACACTGTACATTACAGCCTACACAAGCCTAGACATAAAGGCCTGCCCTACACTCTACATTATAGCCTACACAAGCCTAGACATAAAGGCCTACACAAGCCTAGACATAAAGGCCTGCCCTATACTGTACATTATAGCCTACACAAGCCTAGACATAAAGGCCTGCCCTACACTGTCCATTACAGCCTACACAAGCCTAGACATAAAGGCCTGCCCTACACTGTACATTACAGCCTACACAAGCCTAGACATAAAGGCCTGCCCTACATTCTACATTATAGCCTACACAAGCCTAGACATAAAGGCCTACATAAGCCTAAACATAAAGTCCTACATAAGCCTAAACATAAAGTCCTACACAAGCCTAGACATAAAGGCCTGCCCTATACTGTACATTATAGCCTACACAAGCCTAGACATAAAAGCCTACATAAGCCTAAACATAAAGTCCTACATAAGCCTAAACATAAAGTCCTACACAAGCCTAGACATTAAGTCCTACACAAGCCTAGACATAAAGTCCTACACAAGCCTAGACATAAAGGCCTGCCCTACACTGTACATTATGGCCTACACAAGCCTAGACATAAAGTCCTACACAAGTCTAGACATAAAGTCCTACATGAGCCTAAACATAAAGGCCTGCCCTACACTGTACATTATGGCCTACACAAGCCTAGACATAAAGTCCTACACAAGCCTAACCATAAAGGCCTGCCCTACTCTATACATAAAGGCTTACATAAGCCTAGACAGAAAGTCCTACACAAGCCTAGACATAAAGTCCTACACAAGCCTAAACATAAAGGTCTGCCCTACTCTATACATAAAGGCTTACATAAGCCTAAACATAAAGGCCTGCCCTACTCTATACATAAAGGCTTACATAAGCCTAACCATAAAGACCTGCCCTACTCTATACATAAAGGCTTACATAAGCCTAAACATAAAGGCCTGCCCTACTCTATACATAAAGGCTTACATAAGCCTAACCATAAAGACCTGCCCTACTCTATACATAAAGGCTTACATAAGCCTAAAGATAAAGGTCTCCTCAAGCCTTCCAAGCTATTTAAGCTTATACATTAAGGTCTGCTCAAGCCTCTCAAGCTATCCAAGCTTATACATTAAGGTCTGCTCAACCCTCCCAGGCTATCCAAGGTTATACATTAAGGTCTGCTTTGTATATACATAAATGCCTTCCCATCTTTCGACCTATACATAAACAATAATAGGGCTGTCTCAAAAATTGAATGCTTTCATGTGAATTAGCACCAAGGAAATCAGGAAACAACTGAACGATTGAGCATAATGAAACAGTTTTCTATTTAAAGTAAAAGTAGCCTTCACTTTCAGTGCAAATTGCCAAAATTCAATAAAAGATACAAAACAATTTCCAAAATGTACAAATTAAGTAAAGTCTCGAAAATTATGTTCCACACTAGCTCTTTTGACAATTCAATATGTCTATTTATAGTAAGGTTAAAATCCAACCTGATATATAATGTGAGGTAGGTAGTGCCTCTGACAAATAAGATGCTGGAGAGACTGACTAATGACAGGGTATATGGAGATAGCTGTTGACTATACACATCAGCAGGGAGTACTAACAGTAGACTCCAACACACTGAGGTATAACACTGTAATTACTACAGCACCAGATACCACCAATACTGACACAACCTTCTGTCATTGGACCAAAACTGCTTTGCCAAATGACAGCTCATTATGCATTCTTGCTCCAATGGACTCCATCTTTTCCTTGGCAACCAGTTCTATCAATATTTTTTTTCTTCTTTCTTTTCTTTTTTTATGATAACTGTAGAACCACAGATTTTAAGCATATCACAATCATGCTTGGATGATAAGCCAAATACCCTGCATGTGGGTTTTACAATGTCATCTCAGTCAGTAATTGAGAAAAAAGGAAGGAAAGAGAAGCTGAGAATTAATACCATTGCTGTTTCCCCTTGTCGACATGATGGGAGCTCCTGTGTCGAGAAGTTCTACTGAAATGCACTCAAACACACAGTAATATAGCCACACAGCACTCACATAAATTTTTGAAATGTAAATTATTTCAATAATAAAGCATACATTTTTGTAAACCCCATATCATAGTCTTAAAGGACAGATCTTTTAAAAATAGTTTTCTCAAAATTACAAACACTGCCTACCAGCATGAGGATTCAGAGAGAAGGGTGAGCCTGAGAAGAGTTACATCATTTATCAAAACCCAGCATCCGTTACGTATTCAGCATCATGCCCAATTCTCAAAGATCAAACCTCCACAAACATTCATCTTTGTTAGGTTTTAAGGATCACATGAGAGTATACTAATTAGATTCAATAATTAACCCCACAAAAATACACAGATGATAATTTGTCATTTTGAGAAAAGCTGGTAGAATGTGTGAGACAGACAGCTTTGCAGGAACTCATGTGGGATATGGTATATTTCATCCACAGAGAGAGTTTATTTAGTCTTCGTGTTGGGTACAATATAGCTAATTTTTGCGTGAACATTTTGGTTCCATAGATGTAAAACATGTTTTGGTTGAATATCGCATGTTTTTACTGAGGGTGGTAAATTTCTCTCAGATATTTCCTCTTTACTACTTATACCAATTACAAGCCCTCATTCTGCAGTAATATTGTTACAGGTCCCTGTAGGTATACACATTTAATCCACACGAAGAGTTAACACATATATATATATATATATAGATATTTACAGGTTAGAATAAGGCAAGATATGATCAAATTGTCAAATATCAGAGCCAGTCACATCAAATTGACTAATGCATCTATACAGAATTTGCATTTATTTCTACTGTTATTAGAAAATATACAAACTTGTGCAGTTTCAAGTTGCTAAAGGCATAAATTTCAATCTGTTTATAAAATTACTGTTGGGAACATATAGTTACCTTAGACCTGTGTAAAGTAGAACACTCTCTGAAGTAAATTTATTACAAGTCTAATGTCAAAGTTATTATAGCTCCCAAGCCTAGAGAATATATCACATTGTATACTATACTTTCTGCAGCTGTACTACAGATATTACCCACAGTTCTTTTCATCAATGTTTCAAATATCCATATTGTTGTTAAACAATACTTTATATATCTATATTTACTGTTTTTTCCTTTACGTTCCATTCAAAACTTAAAATACAATATACAAGAATATAGGAAATATACACATGAGCAATTCCACCACACCAATATCAAAACTATATTTGATGTAAATGTGTTACAAAGGTCACTCAAAACAGTGTGATTCTAACACCAACAACTCACACAGGTCGCCAACAACAAAGTGATTCGAACATCTACATCTCACACAGGTCGCCAACAACAAAGTGATTCTAACACCAACAACTCACACAGGTCGCCAACAACAAAGTGATTCGAACACCTACATCTCACACAGGTCGCCAACAACAAAGTGATTCAAACACCTACATCTTACACAGGTCGCCAACAACAAAGTGATTTGAACACCTACATCTCACACAGGTCGCCAACAACAAAGTGATTTGAACACCTACATCTTACACAGGTCGCCAACAACAAAGTGATTTGAACACCTACATCTCACACAGGTCGCCAACAACAAAGTGATTCGAACACCTACAACTCACACAGGTCGTCAACAACAAAGTGATTTGAACACCTACATCTCACACAGGTCGCCAACAACAAAGTGATTCGAACACCTACATCTTACACAGGTCGCCAACAACAAAGTGATTTGAACACCTACATCTTACACAGGTCGTCAACAAAGTGATTCGAACACCTACATCTCACACAGGTCGCCAACAACAAAGTGATTTGAACACCTACTACTCACACAGGTCGCCAACAACAAAGTGATTTGAACACCTACATCTTACACAGGTCGCCAACAACAAAGTGATTTGAACACCTACATCTCACACAGGTCGCCAACAACAAAGTGATTTGAACACCTACTACTCACACAGGTCGTCAACAAAGTGATTCGAACACCTACATCTCACACAGGTCGCCAACAACAAAGTGATTCGAACACCTACATCTCACACAGGTCGCCAACAACAAAGTGATTCGAACACCTACATCTTACACAGGTCACCCACAACAATGTGATTCTTAAATTCACATCTCACACAGGTCGCCCACAACCATGTGATTCTTACATCTACATCTCACACAGGTCGCCAAAACAGTGTGATTCTAACACCCACATCTCACACAGGTCGCCCACAATAATGTGATTCCAACAACCACATCTCACACATGTTGCCCACAACCATGTGATTCAAACACTCACATCTCACACATGTTGCCCACAACAATGTGATTCCAACACCCACATTTCACACAGGTCGCCCACAACCATGTTATTCCAATACCCACATCTCACACAGGTCGCCCACAACCATGTGATTTTTAACAACTGCATCTCACACAGGTCGCCCACAACCATGTGATTCCAACACTCACATCTCACAGGTCATCCACAACAATGTTATTTTTGACACCTGCATCTCACACATGTCACCCACAACAATGTGTTTTTTAACACCCACATCTCACACAGGTTGCCCTAAACATCATGAAGTAAGATCCAGCTACATGACTCCTATCACAACTTGACAGCTGCCTGTGTTAGGTCTGTAAGTTACAGAAATCTCTGCACCATATGTTAAGACCTGACAGGGGCAGTTATTAGGTGGTGATACTTACATCATATCCCTGACAACACATACCATGTGTTACCATGTATTACGTTGTCAATCTCTTTCTCTGTGTAACATGTAAGTCAAGGAGAACAGATGTTCTTTACATGTCAAAGCACATACTTGTAATATCATATAGGTGTCCAAATGTCTCCTCTCATTTGTCACACCATTAATGATCTTCCCCTGTCAAAATATCTATTTGTTTTCATCATTTATCTTGCAGAAGTACATTCACTGAAAGCACAGAATTCATAGAACATTCCTACAGCCACTCTTGCTAAAGTCTATAGATTTGTCAAGGTCGTGGTGCCAAAAATCAAGGTCATGAGCAAGCAGTCAAGATAAAGTCATGATATATATATATACCAAAGCTCAAGGTCAAAAAGTTGTGACAAATTCATGGTACAAAGGTTCAATGTAAAAGTATAACACATCAACGTCTTTTACCTCTCTGAACATCATGCAGGAGGCCAATCACATGCAATTCAGAGCAATTTAGGTACAGTGTTTTGCCCAAGGATACCACCAAGACATCACTTGTTTTCTAAGAAACACAAACTGCATTGTGTTGGAATCAAACACTACATCTTCACCTCACATTGCATTAGACTGGTGCTCTATTGACCAGGCGACTCATTGGTCCACTAACAACAAGAGAACTTATCATACACCATTGTAAAAACACAACACATCCTGGGAAGCTGGTGTCAAAATAGACACTTAAGCTTGTAAGACAAAATCTGGCACTTCTAATTGGTTTCAACTCATATAGCAACTGCATTGTCAGCACTTTGATACTTGGAACTCCTGAAATGTGATTAGAGATCTTCTTTGTTTAGGTGTCCAGTGACTTTCGATCGATATACCTCCACAGCCAAATAAACTCAAATCACATGTGTTTGCAGTCTGTTAAAAACTTGGCACTTTCAAATGAAACAGTTTGATGTTTGCAAAGAAAGACTACGTACTGGGACTATAGCCTTGTATTATTTCAACTCATTTTCCTCCTACGCTTGTAGTGTCAAGAAAACATTGCCTTCTAAAGAAGTCACAAACCGATCAGTGCATAGCTAATCTGAAGCTGTGTCTGAGGAGTTTATGTCATTATATCACCCCAAGAGACACCCAACCATTCCAGAATTTGCCAGGAAAGTTTTTGTAGTTTTGTTTTTGCATTTGACAGGTGAAGATTTCTTTTTACTGGTAAATAATTGGGGCTCCACAGAGACACCACAAAAATCCATACACAGCTTCTCGCTTATCAAGTCGTAGAATATGTTCAAGCCCTGACAGCTTAGAGTCAATATTTCAATGATGACATTTTGGGTCAAGGTTTGCAGGAATTGGTCACTATATTGGTGATGATTTGATGACATGGAAGAAGCTCAGGTTGAGAAATGTCATACCAAGTAATTTATTCCTAGTGAAATTGAGGTCCTGTATTTGTACATATCTGTTACCCTACATGCCCTCCTCAGTACCAAAGGGGGAGCTGTCAGTCATAGCTTCCACCCTTCATGCCCTCCTGAGTACTAAAGAGAGAAGCTGTCTATCATAGCTGCTACCCTTCATGCCCTCCCAGAGAACTGTAGGGGGAGGATGTTCATCATATAAGCTGCCATCCTACAAGCTCTCCCTGAAAACTGAAGGGAGGTGCTCTTCTTCAAAGCATTCCATCCTTGATTACAAATGTTAGGAAGATCTGATAGTCAAATCTCCTCCACTTCATGCTCTCCCTGAGTACTATAAGGAGCAGCTGTAGGTCAAAGCTGCACCCTTCATGCCCTCCCAGAGTACTATAGGGACAAGCTGTAGGTCAAAGCTACACCCCTTCATGCCCACCCTGAGTACTATAAGGAGAAGCTGTAGGTCAAAGCTGCACCCCTTCATGCCCTCCCAGAGTACTATAGGGACAAGCTGTAGGTCAAAGCTGCACCCTTTCATGCCCTCCCTGAGTAATATAGGGACAAGCTGTAGGTCAAAGCTGCACCCCTTCATGCCCTACCTGAGTACTATAGGGATAAGCTGTAGGTCAAAGCTGCACCCCTTTATGCCCTCCCTAAGAACTATAGGGACGAGCTGTAAGTCAAAGCTGCTCCACTTCATGCCCTCCCTAAGTACTATAGGGACGAGCTGTAGGTCAAAGCTGCACTACTTCATGCCCACCCTAAGAACTATAGGGACGAGCTGTAGGTCAAAGCTGCACCACTTCATGCCCTCCCTGAGTACTATAAGGAGCAGCTGTACCTTGTAGCTTACACTCTTCCCATCCCTCCCATAGCTGGCACCTAACCTGAAGAACAGATGACTATTGGAATCAATGAGCATACAGTCTGTAACACACCACATCACTCTGAATTACAAATTGATATATCCTATCACTTCCTTCACTCAACAGGAGTCTTATGTTTAAATCCCTCATGGCGAAAATATATTCATCATAATGAAGTTTTCTTCAATTGAAAATTAAAAGACACCCCAGTATCAACCCGAATTAGTACAATATATTTGATGGGCAAACATTTTTCAATATAACGATTTCTTTATAAGACAATATAACCATTTTTCTATAATCCATAAGATGAATTTCCAAAGTCAGAAGATATTTTTAATTTTTTTTGTCTGTTCAACAATAAATCTATACATACAGGTCCCCAAGTCCTGTACTCATAGAATTCTGATGGACTCTGGAAAAACCGTAAATTTTACATTGTATTACCCAATGTTTTAAGCAATAAAAGCTGACTCATGAAAATAGATTGAGAACTGTCTGTTTGTCCCGTAGAAATAAACCCATTCTACACATCACATACAATTATAACAGTACAGGCAGGGTTGAAACAGTGGCTATTACCAATGACTGTTACCATAGGCTGTACTAAAAGTAAAAACTGAAATTGCAATGTGTCTACGAAATCAAACGCCAACATATTGAACCAACTGAAAGGTCAGTAAGGTAGGTCTATATGTTTTAGTACCAGCATCTCGTGGATGTCCTCTTCAAATCCTACAGTGTGAAAATAGAATAGTAACAGAAATGTGTACATTCTTTAGAATATACCTACGGCACTGAGCCAAATATAGATTATTGTTAAACATGGAGTCACAATGTGACATGGCTGAATGTCAAGTTTAGATTTACGTCCACCATTTCCATGTTATACCCATCTACATAGTTACTAGGATAGGACAGGTGACAAAGCTGCCTCATTGAAAATCTGAAGTGTAGAAATTACAAACCTTTTATACCAGTAAGCTAGCTGTATATCAGAACACTCTGCTAGCTGTTACATCAATATCAAACTCCAGCACTGGATAGGATTAGTCAGCACTATCAAACACATTTATATAAAAAAAACCTCCACAGACCACTATCACATTGAAAAAGCATTCACCAGTTCAACATATCATATCTCTCCCTCTTCTCAACCTTTACATACACACAAACAATGAATGTATCAGTACCAAAAAACACACACCATTATCAAACCATTGCGCCATCAAACACAAACCATCACACCAAACACAAATCATTATCACACCAATAAATACCCACCATTATCATACCAACAAATACACACCATTATCACACCAACAAATACACACCATCCAACAAACACACACCATTATCACACCAACAAATACACACCATTATCACACCAACAAATACACACCATTATCACACCAACAAATACACACCATTATCACACCAACAAATACACACCATTATCACACCAACAAATACACACCATTATCACACCAACAAATACCCACCATTATCACACCAACAAATACACACCATTATCACACCAACAAATACACACCATTATCACACCAACAAATACACACCATTATCACACCAACAAATACACACCATTATCACACCAACAAATACACACCATTATCACACCAACAAATACACACCATTATCACACCAACAAATACACACCATTATCACACCAACAAATACACACCATTATCACACCGACAAATACACACCATTATCACACCAACAAATACACACCATTATCACACCAACAAATACACACCATTATCACACCAATAGATACACACCATTATCACAACAACAAATACACACCATTATCACACCAACAAATACACACCATTATCACACCGACAAATACACACCATTATCACACCGACAAATACACACCATTATCACACCAACAAATACACACCATTATCACACCAACAAATACACACCATCACACCGACAAATACACACCATTATCACACCAACAAATACACACCATTATCACACCAACAAATACACACCATTATCACACCAACAAATACACACCATTATCACACTGACAAATACACACCATTATCACACCAGCAAATACACACCATTATTACACCAACAAATACACACCATTATCACACCAACAAATACACACCATTATTACATCATATTATACTTTATATTTCTGTAATGAAATAGAATTATAAGTGGGTTTTCATCGAAAACTTAGTCATGTCAGCGCTTCATGGTGAATCATGTATTTAATTGTGATGTCACAACTTCATGGTGTAACATGTATTTAATTGTGATGTCACAACTTCATGGTGTAACATGTATCTAATTGTGATGTCACAACTTCATGGTGTAACATGTATCTAATTGTGATGTCACAACTTCATGGTGTAACATGTATTTAATTGTGATGTCACAACTTCATGGTGTAACATGTATTTAATTGTGGTGTCACAAATTCATGGTGTAACATGTATCTAATTGTGATGTCATAACTTCAAGGTGAATCATGTATTTAATTGTGACATCACAACTTCATAATGTAATATGTATTTATTTGTGATGTCACAAAGAGTCAAACTAACATTTTTAAAGATTAAATAGGGTAGTATTAAAGATTCTTGCAAAGGTTGCTAATTCGTATGAAGTTTATGAAAGTTACCACAAATTTTCCATTTCAACTCTCCATAAAGACTTGATAATATGAAAAGTTTTTAGCTAAGTTTAATAAATCTCACGTTAAATTGGAACTCCTGTGAGATGGTCTATTCATCATTTGTCACTTACAGGTTGTATTCTCAGAAACACACAGCCGTATAAATCAAATCAATTGTACTGTGCATTTTCATTAACAATTCATTGAAACAGTTTGATTCTTGAAACTATGCATCACTTGCTTAAAAGCAATTTGTGATAGAGATCTGAATGCTGAATTTGAAAAAGTCTTCTCCCTGCCAAAATATTTCAATCATTCAATGAATTCCATTAATGTAGGTGCACACTTTTGGAAATTTCATTTATCAAAGAGAAAGTGATGTGTGTAAAAGAAGGGAAAGTTGGTGAAGATAATTTAAACTTCAGAGACATCATGGATCTGGCATGGGGAGATGATGTACATTGGCAATACCGTCCTATATATAGCATGATCCCAGTGCTCGAATGGAGGCTGCCATATTGGTATCAAGATAGTGGAGTTCATACTTGTGTGTATCAACAACAGTCAGCTTGACCCTCAGAAACATAGACACTTTCACACTGTTTTACCTATCTTATGAGTTTTATGATAAACTACACCATCCAATACTCCTTGTTAAAAGCGGTATAACATTAACACATCTCATGAAGAAAACTTTATCAGAGGAAACTTATTGTTGGATGTTGTGAGGCCCCTAATCTGCTTTTTCATACACCTGGACACCTCTTTCTGTCTTTCAGGTGTGTGATGTAGCTGGTTCAGAAAACCCCTACACATGGTATCTAAGCTCAAAACTATATAAACTTTTTTAAACTTTAATTCTTTTACAACAATTGTAAAACAAGTTAAAGCAACTTATTCTAATTATTCTTGATGGCCCGGATGTAAGCAATGAGGGGTATTACAGTGGGAGACTGTCAGAGATAATTTTGAGAAAACCCACATGGTCGGAAAGGCGATCCCCTACATTTTCGCTTTTCGTTGCGAGAATCAAACCCCAAATGGCTAGGTAAAAGATGAGTGTGTTACCATTGCATTACCCGACTATCCTGTTGGTATAGGTTCTTAAGTTTACTGTTGAAGTCAGATGAAAAAAACTCTTGCTTAGAACAAATGAAAACTGCTTAATTCTGCAAAATAAAAAATTCATATAAAGCAAAGATTTTGATTTTTTTTCAGACAGTCTCAATGGCTTGACAGAGACTGTTGAGTGCAAGTGTGACAGCTGCCTCCTTGTACCACAGGGGCCAGTAACAATGTTTCTGAGGGATGGGGGCTTGTATGGTATAATATGACAAGTATCCTGTGCTTTGTACAAGTATTTACACAACCAGTGTGGAACAAGGACACAATATTTAGCATCTTAAAAGCTTTTAAACTGTGGTGACCCACCTTTGTTCTCATACCTTATAATCTGGCCAATTTTACATGTACCAATTACCAAAAGATTATCAGAAATGTTCTTGACAATAGCATGCTTTACGCATCTGGTATTAAATAAGTTTCAATGAAACCTAAAGCTTGTCATTTATGGCAGGAGTTAGCTACACATTATCAAGACTTAATGCTCAATTAAGCCAATCACAAGTCTTAAGTATCACAGTCAAGTTTGAGTTTTAGTCCATAAGTATCACAGTCCAGTCCGAGTTTTAGTCCTTAACTATCACAGTACAGTCCCAGTTTTAGTCCTTAAGTATCACAGTCCAGTCCGAGTTTTAGTCCTTAAGTATCACAATCCAGTCCGAGTTTTAGTCCTTAAGTATCACAGTCCAGTCCGAGTTTTAGTCCTTAAGAATCACAGTCCAATCCGAGTTTTAGTCCTTAAGTATCACAATCTAGTCAATTCTGAGTTTGTGACTATAACAACAAGCCAATTCCAAGTTTGTAATTGTTTTAATCCAGCTGACTCCAAGTCTGTAACTATTATAATCCTGCCAATTTCTAAGTCTGTAACTATTGCAATCCAGTCAATTCTGAGTCTGTAACTATTATAATCCTGCCAATTTCTAAGTCTGTAACTATTATAATCCTGCCAATTTCTAAGTCTGTAACTATTATAATCCTGCCAATTTCTAAGTCTGTAACTATTATAATCCTGCCAATTTCTAAGTCTGTAACTATTATAATCCTGCCAATTTCTAAGTCTGTAACTATTATAATCCTGCCAATTTCTAAGTCTGTAACTATTATAATCCTGCCAATTTCTAAGTCTGTAACTATTATAATCCTGCCAATTTCTAAGTCTGTAACTATTATAATCCTGCCAATTTCTAAGTCTGTAACTATTATAATCCTGCCAATTTCTAAGTCTGTAACTATTATAATCCTGCCAATTTCTAAGTCTGTAACTATTATAATCCTGCCAATTTCTAAGTCTGTAACTATTATAATCCTGCCAATTT